ATACTGTAGTTTCAGAGGCGCAGCTAGCTGGTAGCCTGTAGCAAATTGTGACCATGGCTTGGGTGCTCAGCAGTTGGCCTTTCCATTACTGGCTTACTCCATCTTCCATAATGCTGCAGAGGGCTCCTTTAGAAGTATCCTGGCTACTGATGTGGGGTCAGGCTGCTCTGCTAGCCTGGCCCATGCTTGCTCATCCCGGCTCTGCCTGCTGAGCTCAGACCAACCTGTACAGAGCCTCGCATTGCCTCCATGTGACAGCTGTGGCTTAGTTGAAAGCATTTGATCCTCTGCTCTTCCCCTTTTAAAGATCAGAAACATGGCATTACCTCTTCACGCCCCTGCATCACCCTCGCTTTCCTTAGAACTTGGGTACCTTTACACGTCCACAGCCTGGGCTAGAAGCCTGCAGAAAACTGGCCCACTTAATTCAACTTATTATGACCTCAAAGCATCCGTGTGTCCTTGGATGCTTCTATCCTCTATCAGGAAAAAAAAAAAAAAATCAAAACACCAAGGGCTTGAGAATGGTTCGGTGGTGAAGTGCTGGCCTAACTTGTATAAGGCTGGGTCTTGATTAGCTGCCTGTCCTATGGCTGTGACAGAATAGGGAGGGAGACTTTGCTTCGGCTCATGGTTCGGAGGCTATCAGCCCACTGTGGCAGAAAAGGCTTGGCTACAAGAGCTGTTCTGGCTGGGGCCCAGGGAGACTCGGCGGTGTCCGTCTCCTCTCCAAGGATCAGCGTGTGGACTCAGAGTAGAGCGGGCTCCCTGAGGGCCCGCTCCCAGTTACCCTGTCCACCAGCAGGCCCCATGTTCCAAAGGTCCCACAGCCTCCCCAAATTCCAGCAGCAGCCAGCCAGCAGCTGTCCCGATAACCATTTAAAGCAGAACATGCCAATGTCCAGTGTGAAGAACACCAGCCTCATTTAGGGTGGATTTTCTGCATGGGTGACTCTAGTTCCTAGAGTCCCTGCTTATGGGGGAATGTGGGATCATGTGTGTGGCTGGAAGGTGGCCTGTGTCAGACCACTGAGTTTCCCTTGTCTGTTGGCAACTTCTGCAGACCATGCCCTGTACTGGGCATTGCCTTTTTCTTCCACAGAAGTCAAGGATACAAGGAAGGTTTGTCTCTGCTGAGATCAGGCCCCAGGCAAAGGTGCCCAACCCACCCCAGGCCCCATCCTGGTAGAATATGTTTGCCACCTGTATATGCCAGTGGCATGGCTTTCCCTCTACCTATCCTCTCTGAAGCCAGACGATCACAGTAGCATCTGCAGTCATGTGCAGGGCACCTGTCTGCGCCTCCATGAACATGGCCATGTAGTCCCCTGATATTTTGTGAAAGGACCATCTCTCCAGAAGCTAAGGGAGCCCTGAGGCTCCATGGGGTGGCTTGGAGGCTTCCTGTGTAGAGAGGGAGCTGTTTCAGAGGCTGCCTGTCCATCAGGGGATTTGTAGAGGGAGGCTGCCTGCTGGGGTGGTGGGAGAATCCCAGGGATGTGCCTAGCTCAGGCCAGACTCGGCTCTCTGGTTTAGGTCTGACTGCTCTCATGGCCCATGTCTCCCGTTGTGAATATGAGACCAGCGAAGGAAGGAGTGGGTGTCCTTCCACCACCCCCCCCCCCCACACACACACAGCTCCTGAATCCTTTGCATTGAGGAAACATCTTACTTGTAAGGCACCCAATTATCCTGGAAGGTTTGCAGGCAAGTCTGGAAGCCGATCGAATCCAGGGAAACAGTTTCTGCATAACAACTACTTAATACCCAATCATAACAATTATACATAATTTGTGTTTACAGTGCCTAGAAGATTAAACTCCTCCGTGCAGACACTTTCCAAAACAGGCCTAGAACGTGCAGGGTAGGCAGGACTGCCACTCAGCATGCCCACGGGCTGCCTTTGGTACTCTGCAGATGGCATAGGCGGGATACAATCTAGGCCTTCTTCTCAGAGCAGGGTTGAGCCAGGGCTCAGCTGGGAACATCTGCTGGAGTCTCAGGGATGGAGTGAAGGCTTCCCTATCATCACCCCTTACCAGCTATAGTCTGCAGAGGCTGGGCATGTTGTGTTCCAATGCTGAGGTCCAAGGCATTCAGGAGGGGTGGGGCCTGATGCATTCTAAAGCTGTGACCAGTGCAGCCTCCCTGGGGTCCAGCTTTTTCTCTTTAAAAAAATTATTTTCGTCAGGCCCCTTTAATCCCAGCACTCAGGAGGTAGCGGTAGATCTCTATGAGTTCAATTCAAGGCCAGCCTGGTCTAGAGTTCTAGACCATCCAGAGCTTCAGAGTGAGGTATTGTCAAAAAGGGATATATGTGATTCTTTTTAAAAGGTTTGTTTATTTTTATTTTATGCTTATGAGTGTTTCGCCCACCTGCATGTCTGTATGTGTACCACATGCATGTCTGGTGCCCATGGAGGTCAGAAGGTGTCAGATCTCCTGAAGCTGAGGCTGCAGGCAGCTATGAGCCTTCTGGTGCAGATGCTGGGAACCAAACTGCAAAAGAGTGCTCGCTTTTGAACGCTGAGCCCTCTCTCTAGCCCTCGTGGTCTTCTGTTCACCACTCTGGTTTGCTTGCTTATTTAGGCTTGGATTCTTGAAGACAGGATTTTGATATGTATCCCAAGTTTATCTTGAACTCATAGCAGTCTTCTGCCTCAGTGTCCCAAGGGCTGGGATTAGGGGTGTGTACCTTCTGATATGACCTGTCTGGTCCATCAGTGTCTGAAGAGCCTCCTCCAAGTCTGCCCAGGAGTCCCAGTCTGAGGAGAGAGCTCGCTGCCCCTCTTTCACATGGATACTCTCATTGCTGAACCTTCTAAAAGGCTGGACCACCTCCTACCCTCCTCGTCGCTCTCTCAGATTGTGCAGTATTATAATGATCCCCCGCTCTCCCAAAGACGCCCCTTGTCACTGGGGTCAGGGCCCATTTGTCCCTTCAGTCCTTGCTGCTGTGCCTCCCTGCTTAAGATGTGAGCATGTCCCTAAACCCAGCTGGCTTATTGCTTTCTCAAGCAGGGAGATGTGGAAACTGCCCCCAAGACCTGGCCCTCCTCACCTTCCTGGAGATTGCCCTACTTGCCCACTTAACCAGCCCTGCCACCCCGTCTGCAGCCCAGGATAACACTGGGTCATTTGCTCCTCAGCCATGCACCAGTCACAGATTCACAGGGAGACCCTCCCGCCCTGTAGAACTGTGTCCCTTGTCCCAGCTTGTCTCCCAAGAGTCAGGCTCCAGTGCTAGTCTTGCCCTCCTGTTGTGCCCACCTTCTTTCCTGGTGACACTCTGACCTCCATAGCTCTGTGCCCGGGCTGGCCCTGTGCTCACGCTCACTGACGAACTCCAGCCTGCTCAGGGGCGCGGCAGAAGCCGGTCCCTTTGGAGGATCTGCATTTGAATGTGAAGACCATTCAGACCCCAGTAACATCCCGCCCTGTGTCTCTCCCCACAGCCTGTTCCAGCACTACTGTTACTCTCGGGGCGGCATGCGCCACACCTCTTACACCTGCATCTGCTGCAGGTAAGTCTTGGGCCTCATGGGAGGGCAGGCAACAGGGGACATTCCATCCTCCCAACCTCTGCTTAGCTCAGGGGCACTTGCTCACTCCTGTGCCCACCCCAGAGCCCGGAAGTCTCCTTGCCCTCTACTGCTGGCATCCCGTGTTCTGTCACATATGTGTGCAGGTAACATAGACAAACAGGCCAGCCTCTAGGTAGCATGCAGCAAACAGGTGCTTGTGCCGTGGGTGAAAACATGGATGGAGCCATGCCAATACAGGAATTGAGTGTGTGCATGGTTGGAGGCAGATGTTGGGCTCTGGGTGGGTGTCTGTGTGGCACACTGAGGCTGTGCCATCTGCACATGAAGGGATATGCTCCCACATACACACATGGTAGAACTAACCATGACCATAGGGGTGGCCATTGACTCTTACTGCACTGATGTGGTCTCCTGGGGGCACGCACAGCTGTGTAAGTAGCTGGTTGCAGGTGCCATTCTGAGTGTGACTGCACCGGCACATCATAACTGGGTGTCTGGGGCTGACCCTAGCTTGCCTCCCAAACTCCATTCCTCCTGCCTGGTCCCTGCTCAGCCTGGACAGAGGTGGGCGGCTCTCACTGATGGGAGTGTGCATCCTCACACATGAATAATACATTCAGACATCTCTGTCCTTGGAAATGTTCTTCTCTGGTGGATAGGGAGAAAAATCATTATTTCTACTTTATGATTCCTGAGACTCCTAAATGGGACCATAAATATTACACCCAGGTGGGGTTTCCCCCTTAGGACAGACCTGTAAGTTCTTCCTAACGGCATTACTCATTAGGGTAGCTCCATGGCTTCTCGTCTCCCTGGTCCTGGATACGACCCCCTAAGAGGCTCCTGAGACAGCCAGGACCCTCCATGAAACCTCCCTGCCATTAGCCCTTCTCCAGGCCTGTAAGCCTCTGCCCTTTGTATATGCTGCCTATATTCCCAGCCCAGAAAGCAGCTGTCAGAACCAAGGAGCTGCTCCCGGCTCTGGCACATGGCTGTGGACCTGGTCCAGCCTCCAGGTCCTGCTGGGTGACAGTGGGCTCTTAACTACCCTCTGTGGCTCTTTGCAGTGGTGAGAACGCAGCCGTGCTGCACTATGGCCACGCCGGGGCCCCCAATGACCGGACGATCAAGGATGGAGATATGTGGTAAGTGAGGCCGCGCTGCCGTCACCCCACTGTGCACATGTCCCTCTGGGACAAAGGTAGATACCCACATTTGGGTCAGCCAAAGGCCTCTGGGCTCCCGTCCCAAGAGGGTTGGCTACAGCAAAGCCCTGGGCCTGCTTTCATCTCTGCTGTAGATGTTAGCCTGCATGCTCCCTTCCCTTGTCTAGACCTTAGAGCCCTGTGTGCTCACAGGCAGTGGACGCAATTGGGCCCTGGCTGGAGCTGGAGTGACTGAGGTTCAGCAGGGTGCTGGGCTCACAAGTGGTCATGGGGACTGGGGAGAGTGGTGGCTGCCTCAGACTTGGCTCAGTTGGAGATGCATAGAACGGGCCCTCCCTCCCCTCTAGGCCTTGGTGAAGCCTGTGGCAGCAGGAGAGGCCGCCTGGTCCCTTCAGGCACTATGATCACCCCAAGCTTCCGTCTCCCTGACCTCCTCTATTCCTCACCTGCACCTCCTGACACTTCTGAGTACCTAGGGTCTTGAGCATGTTTGGCAGTCTAGCCCTCTTTTCATTTGGTTGGTTGTTTTGGCTTTTCGAAACAGCGTTTCTCTGCAGCTTTGGATCCTGTCCTGGAACTAGCTCACGTAGACCAGATCACAGAGATCCACCTGTCTCTGCCTCCCAAGTGCTGGGATTAAAGGCCTGCGCCAGCACCGCCCAGCTCAATTGTTATTTTGAGACAGAGTCTTACTAAGTTTACCAGGCAGGACTTAAAGTTTCAATCCTCCTGTCTCAGCCTCCAAAGAGCTTGACACTTTGGCCTGTATCACAAGCCCCCCGCGCCTAAGAGTCTTTCTGATGATCTTTAGCTCTGGCCTATTCTGGTTAGGACTGGGGGAAAAACCCAACCCCAGGGCAGAGACTGAGGCCAGCCACATCAGCAGGTCCCTGCATCCTGAGGGAGCTCTGGCTGGAGCCCCCTTGGCCATGAGTTTGGCTCTTCTTGAGTTCCACACACCCCAGAGGAAGCAGCTACTTCTACTCTCTCTGTCCAAAAGGGGGATCTTGCCTGTGAAAACGCCAGCCCTACCTGCATTCATTGGGATCCCAGAGATGGGTAGGGGCCAATGAGGATACTTATGTCCCATAGGCCTCTATATGGCCCAACTGCTGTGACCTCAGTCCTCATGAGCAGTGTGTGGCACCTGTGCCTCTGGCTGGATACAGCTGCGAACAGGAGTGAGCAGAGGAACCCCGTGGATGTTCATGCCAAACTCAAATTGGTGATTTTGTTTTTCTAGTGCTAACTTTGAAATGTAGCCAGTGGAATCATTATGAGTTTATTATAGTCAATTTATTATGCAGCATTTAGAACATGTTTTGTTGATTACTGCTACTGCCAGATTGCTGGCGGCATTTATAATCCATTGTTTTATTGAAATTGATCTGCCAAGCACCTAGTGCGTTTGGTAAATAATAAATCACACTGTTATCCCAACATAAAGCCACAGCCCTTCATCATAAGGTAGGGGACCAGAATATGTGTCTAGAATGGAGTCTGTGCCAAAGCTGAGTGCCACCTGAGACAGAGCATGTGCTCCAGGCATCGAGCACAGGGGTGCACTCTGGGCTCTGCCAAGCTTTTGACATGAAAGATAATTGAACAGTTATAGGGCTGTTTGGGGAGCAGTGAGGAGAGGAGATGCTGAGTGACAGTCAGACCTTCAAGTCCCTTTCAGTAGTCCCAGCAGTGAGTACACCCACGCTTCTCAGCACATACCCACATAAGCGCACCAGGAGCCATGTTGTATGATCCTGAGCACAGAGGCTCCCAGCTCCCACTGCAGTTTTACAGTCCATCTATGGGGTCTTAGAGCACTGACTCCAAGGGGTCGGGAACTGGTGAATGCCGGAACCAAACTGCAAAGCCAGACGGGCTGGACATCTATCTCCCCGCTTTCTGTGTCTCCAAAGAGCATTTTCCAGCCCAGGGCCAGGGCAGAGCACAAATCAGGCCTCCTTTATTCAGGCAACTACTTTTTTAAAACAGCTGAACTAGGATCTCACAATGTAGCCCAGGCTGGCCCTGATGTATAGCAGTGTCTTGGCCTCCCAAGTGCTCGGATTGCAGGCATGCACCACTGTTGCCTGCTTGTGTTAACCTTGGGTGGGGCTGAAAGCCAGCTAAGGCCACTTCTAGCCACTATGGGCCACAGTCCTGACCTGTGAGGTCTAGATGTTGCCCAGGCTGGTCTATGCTGTATATCAAGCTTGTCAGCCAAGTCCTGCAGGCCATCCCACATCCTAGCCAGTGCTCCCAGGCCCCACACCCAGCTGCTCTGTGTGGATCCCAGGGAAGGAGTGGGGACATGTGTGGCTTCAGCTGTCTGGGCCTCTCTCGGTGCAGAGCCTGCGGCTGTTGAGCCTCTTGGAGTTTTCCCGTTGGCTCCCCGAGCACCTTCCGGCTGTGTCCCTGGAGTCCCCTGAACCCGCTGGTCGGGTCACTGTCCTGCAGGAAACATCAGCTGCATCTTGTTTCCTTCTTCAAGGCAAGCAGGCAGGGCTTTGACGACAGGGCTTGCCAAGTGTGGCGGTCTTGTTAGCCGATGCTTCCAGCGTGTTCACATAAAGGGTGGTGTTGAATAAGGTCACCGGAGGCCCTTCCTGAGTGGGCGGCCACAGAAGATGCTTCCCACTGCATCTAGCTCCAAGCAGGTAGCTGTGAGCACATCTAGAGAAACAGGGAAGTCACTGGCTCTGGGTAAGGAGTGGTCCTTAAATACCCCTCTGAGCCGCTCACAGACAGATAAGGGCTGCACCTGGGTCAGCATGCCTAAGTCCACCAGGAAGAGGGCATCCCAGGTTGGGTCATTCTTGTCCAAGACTCTCCAGCTGAGCTATTCACTCCACATGGCAGAGGATGCGTCCCCACTGGGGGTTCTGATTCAGGAAGTAGATGGGGCATGCCTCCTCGGCTACCTGCCAGCCTATAATAAGAGGGGAAGCTAGGCGCCGGGACTCCTCTCCAAACCTATCAGAGTACAGGTGCACGTGTGCTCCAGGTCCAGATCTCCCAAGTACAGGTGGTGGCTCACAGATGGTGTGCAAGGCTTTCCAGCGCTGGCCAGAAGAGGGCAGTGTAGCCTCAGAACTTGGCCAGGCCTCTCTCTGGGTTGTGGTTTGCTATGCTGCCCTGGGGTGTGGGAGGTGGGCCTGCAGCCCAGCTAGGGACAGGCCCATCCCTAACTTTGCACTTAGCAGCTTGCCAGTGCACCCTCCCACTCCACCCCTGCTGTGGCCTCCGGCCTCATCTGTCTCCCTGTTCTGATAATGGCCATGTATAGAGGTCACCAAAACCCAGAGAAACGAGGGTGGTTTCATCCCAGAACAGTTAGTACTTAAAGATACCCAGAACTGTGCTGCTGGCCCTGCCTGGGTCACAGCGGGAGCCTGGGTGGCATCCAGGCTGACTCACATAGCTGTTGCCATCTCAGGTTGACCAATCCTTACCCCTGGGCTGCAGATACCAGGGCCTTAGCAGACCCCACATCACTTGAGCCCTGCACTGGGTTGTGCCTATTCTGGTTGTGTGTCTGGCTGCCAGGTGTGGCCCCTAGGTAGGGTGAGTCTGTGCCCGAGGCTCTTCCCCTGCTGCAGAAGGCGTGGAGTAAGGACTGAGGGTGGCTCCACGTTGTCTGTGCCTAGGATTCCCGTAGGATTTAGAGACTGTCATACGCAGCTAGCTCCTGCTGTAGGCTCATTTCATAGCCCTTCCCCAGCCTTGCTAGTTCTAAAGGGACGCTTGGTCTAAAGGCCCACTAGGGGGCCTCATCCAGAGCATTTCATATCGGAAGATATACCAGCCTTTGGGGCAAGTGATCTCTCCTGCAAACATAGTCTGTCCAGATGAGTCAGCCAAGGCTTTCAATGTCCCATTGCAGGAGACGTTAGCCTTCTAACCAGGGCTCATATTTGCAGATATGCCTCCTGGCCATAAGCAGATGCCCTCCCCATGTGCTTCCTGTCCCTTCTGTTTAGTTTGTCACTACTTTGTGACCGCACCCACTCCATTGACGTCACAACCCATGGTTTAAAAAGCGCTAGTCTAGACAGCCCGAGTGCTCACAGACATCACAAGACACTGGTCACCAAAAAAGAAAATGAAGCATGTGCCGTCTGCGTGATGATGACTGCTGGCCCCCACCCCCAGCAGCCACTGACCTGGTGCTGGCTCCCCCCGCCCCCAGCAACCACTGACCTGGTGCTGGCCCTCTACCCCCTTCCACAGCAGCTACTGACCTGGTGCTGGCTCTTCACCCTCCACAGCAACCACTGACCTGGTGCTGGCTCTTCACCCTCCACAGCAGCCACTGTCCTGGTGCTGGCTCCCCCACACACACAGCAGCCACTGTCCTGGTGCTGGCCCTCCTCCACTCCCGTCACAGCCAACAATCTCGTGCCCGCTCTTCCACATCCACAGCCACCACTGACCTAATGCAGGCGCGTCACCCGCCACCGCCACTACTTCCCTGGTGGTCGCTCTTCCGCACACACAGCAGCCACTGTCCTGGTGCTGGCTCCCCCACACACACAGCAGCCACTGTCCTGGTGCTGGCCCTCCACCGACACCACCTACAGCAGCCACCACCCTGGTGCCCAACCCTAGGCCCAGAAGGCTGAGGCAGGCAGCAGCTGGTCCAAGCTACAGGATGGTGCTCTCTCCTTGGCACTTGGCCTGGCACTAGTGTTCTGCACCTCTGTGACATCCCTGCCTACTTAGGCCCTGAGGAGCAGCCAGCCCAAGGAGTCTGTAGGAAGAGGTTTCTTCCATGGGTCAACCTGTAACCAAGGGGAGCACTCAGAACGGCTCTGCTGCTGCTGCTGGCCCTTCCCGGGGGCTGCCATGCACAGAGACCTGCTGGTAAGCCGAGAGTGGGCAGCTGACCTATGAACTGGGAAGGGGGTGCCCACCGTGGCCAGCCTGCTGCAGAGACAACATGGCTGGCTACCGTCCTGTTCCATCCTCTGCTGAGGTCTGTTCAGAACCCGTCTCTCTCCCTCTCCCTCTCCCTACAGCCTGGCATGCAGACTGTACAAAGCAAGCATGCTTAGCACACATGCATGGAAGATGTCAGTCTTGGGTGAGAAGCAGCCGAGTGTGTGTTGCATACTCAGATTAAAATGAGGCTACAAGCTGAGTACAAAGTGGCCCTTGTATAAACATCGCAGCATTTCCCTTGGAGGCCTTCTGCCTGTGGGCTGGCTTGTCCCTGCTCAGGGCCTAAGGGAGTTAAGCAGGACCCGGAGAGGGTCTGGGTGGGCCAGTGGTGGCAGGTAGCCCAGGCCTTGGCGCTGCCCCATGAAGAGCCAGAGGAAGACAGAACGTTCATCCCAGCCAGGACCACAGCCATAGGAACACATGTGGGGAGGAGACGCCAGCACATTGCTTGGAGACATGTCATCTCCCAGATGTCTCAGATTATCACACAGACCCACTCGGCCAGTGATGGAGGTGTCCCTGGTGGATGTCCCTACACAGCCAGGAAGGGGAGATCTTGCATTCTCAACTGAGCCAAGAATGACGAATTCTCCATCGTCGTTCTGCATGGAAAGGGCCGGCGCAGTAGACAGAACTGGAGGAGATGATTTGTAAGAACGATGGCTTTCATCCCTGGGTTCCAAATGGCTCGAATCGGAATCACTGATGCATGGGAAAGCACTGAGGGAGGATTTAAAAACAATAAACAACAGCAGAAAAGAAGGCAGAAAATATGGGGAACTGAGAACACAAAAATAGACTCCAGCCCGTGCCCAAGCGTCGCCGGGCAGGATGGAGCTGGCTGGCGGGGTGTATACTTCCTTCTCCAGAAAGTGGATGATTTTAACAAAAAATAGAGTTGAGGCCTTTAGAAACTGAGGAGAGAGCTCGGCTGGCTGAAGAAATCAGAGCGCCCGTCATACCATCTCTGAGGGAAGGTTTGGAGAACTTGGCTCAGTCTGCTGTGCCCCCCAAAATCTTGTTTTGTCCTATTCTAGATGAGTCTAGCATTTCGTGTCATCTTGTGAGCTTCCTGGTTTTTAAAAATAGTTCATTTCTGTTTTTCCTTTAGACCAGCACCAGTAGAGCCCTCTTCCCCAGGGGCGACTGCAGGTCACCCTTTATGTGGCACCTCCCAGGAATGAGTGTCTCCACATGTCTGCCCAGGCCATGTCTTCTAAGATGCTCCAGCCCCCAAAACCACAAAGCATTGTTTCCCTTACTGAGTCCGGGAAGCTCAAATAAGTGTTCTTCAGCAACCCGAGGCTGGACCCCTTTGCAGCTCTGTCCCTACTGCTGCCTGCAGTGGCTCTGAGCCCCTGTATACCTGCGGCTTGCAAGGGTCTCCTGCTCATTTAAAGATGGGCAAATGAGGTCCCGAAGGCTAAGTGGCAGAGGCAAAACAAGGTGACTGAAATGTTTCCCTACCTTCAACTGCAGGCTTTGCTGGGCCTGTGTTCACAGCCTCAGTTTCCCTTTCGTCTGGGGCTTCACCCTCTAGGCTGGTTCGTATCCTACACAGGAGTTAACCTGCAGGCAGTTTCTGGCCCCAAGGGCCACAGAGCACCCCAGGGAGCAGATGCCTGTGTGTGTCTCTGGCCTTTCCATGGCCCTCTTTGTAACTGAGCTGGGTGGTTTCTCCTGAAGTGAGGCCCAGGTCTCTTGAGTCTGTTCCACACAGGGTCCCCAGAGACTTTGACCCAAGCCAAAGTTCCCTGTCAAGCTTTGTGGGGGGAGGGTGCCTCTGCCCATCCCCAGGAATCACCTGAGATGTTATCTATGCTTCGCCCTCCGTACTGTTGACCCGTTCGTTCGTTTATGGTGTTTTGCAACCAGGAGTCGGGAGATTAAAAAGTGCCCCGATGAGGACTTTTGATTCAGGCATCCTGGGCATTTGCATTTTTCCTTTAAAATCAGCTGCTGTGTAGTAGCTGGTACTGTCTGGCAAGCCATGTGGCCAGAATGAATGCTCTCCATGCAGGGCCAGGAGCCCGCCCTGCCCCCCAGCTCATTCTCTCAACACTAGCACACAGGCAGCTTCTGGAATGCCTGTGGTTACCGTTAGAGTAGGATTTGGGTGTAAGGGCCTCATAAAGAAAGCCACAGATATGCCCTGGGCTCAGACTGGCCAGCATGCGTCTGGCTGCAGATGGACATGACCACCCCCACCACACTAAGCAGAGCTAGCCTCTATTGGTACAGGAAGACTGGACCATGGTCCCTCAGCCAGTTTGACTGGGATTAATGTCATGACCCCAGGAATAGGCCCTTGCTCTATGTCTGTTGCAGAACCTTCCTGGGGGTGCTAGACTGGGGCAGGTTGGGAAGGGGTGCCCTGTGTGTACACCCCCTTGCCTTAGTCACACTCTGGCATTCTGAGGTGACCCCATACCATGGGAGACAGATCCTTGTCCCCAACGCGAGGCCAGAATCCACAGGTTGCCTTCTTGCTCTATACCAGATGGTGCACAGGGCAGAATTCTTAGCTGTCCCCATTGTTGGGCCCCGTGGCCCGCGGTGGGTTCTGCTATGCCAGGAGCCATGACACAGTATCCAGAAGGGTAGCTCCATGGTCCTGACTCGGCAGGCCCAGCTGTTTCCTACCATTGTCCAGCCTCTGCTGGCTCAAGGCTCCGGCAAGTCCTCTCTACCGCCTCAGCCTGCACAGCCACCCACCTGGGGACCACATGACAGCACCTCTGTCAGCCCCCAGGAAAGCACTGCTAAATAAGCTGCACACACCTGACCCTCTGCCCCCCTCAGAGTTTCCTCTGCCCCCCTCAGATGCGGCCGAGACACATCACATCTGCCCTACCTGAGCAGATGATGCTAGACAGCGGAGCAGCACCTGAGGCGCCGGCCACCTGCTGGTTCCTCCTGAGCACTGTGGGCCTGTCAGAAAGGCCTGGTGCAGCTCAACCCACTGGGCAAGCAAGGTGGCCGTAGGGAGTCTCTTGGCATGCTCATGTGGAAGGCAGTTAGCATGTGGGAATCTGGAGACCCAGCCATCTCCCATGGGTCTCTCCCACTGCTCTAAATGGGTCCCCACAACTAAAACTGCTGGTGCCAGTTTCCTTTTGCCTTCCCTAGACAGGCTGAGCCCGTTCCCCTCCCTCCCTCTTCTCCTCCTTCCCTCCTCCTCCCATCTTTCTTTCTGTGGTTCTGGAGGTTGAGCCTAGAATCTCATGTGTGCAAGCCAGTGCGTCTACTGTCATCTCCAGCACTCTTTCTGCTCTTTCTGAGACCAGACTGGCTTTGGACTTGCTCTGTAGCCCAGGCAGATCTTGGAGATTTTTTTTTCTGGAACTCACTTTGAGATCGCCTGCTTCTGCCTCTTGAGTACTGGGGTTAGAGGTGTACTCCACCACCACCCAGCTTGGTCTTAAAGTTTCAGTCATCTGCCTCCACCTCCCAAGTCGCTGGGGTGACAGGCCGGCACCACCGGGCCTAGGTCCCTGTGTCGCGCTCTTCTGTTGGAAAGGAACCTGCTACACCAGCCCCATCTCCTGATCAGCCAGCCCCCAGCAGAAAGAGTGGAGGGGTGGGGTGGGGGTTGGCATCTGTGAGCGTCTGCCCGCCTGCCTCACGACGCCCTGTCCCTGCAGTCTGTTCGACATGGGTGGAGAGTACTACTGCTTCGCTTCTGACATCACCTGCTCCTTCCCGGCCAATGGCAAGTTCACAGAGGACCAGAAGGCCATCTACGAGGCGGTGCTGAAGAGCTGCAGAACTGTCATGAGCACTATGAAACCAGGTGAGGGACAGGAGGGCGGAGCTGCTGAGGAGCTGCCCTGCAGCGGGGGTGGTGGGGTAGTGGAGGGACATACCGAGTGACAGGCACCCACAGGCAGCAGACATGAAGTCTGTCTACACCTACTCCACATGCTTCGAGTCCAGGTGGTGTGAGCCCCCAGAGCACCCAGAGGGCACAGGCTGACCACTAGTCAGGGACAGAACTGGCTCTGGAAGTTCAACCCCTTGTGACCCCACGGCCCATCCAACCCCATCTCCCTACACATCCTTCCACCCACACTGGTCATTGGGACATCAGCATGTCCCCTCCCCTGACCAAAACAGAGTCCACTTGAGGAAGGTCCAGGCCAGCTTTGGATACTGGTTGAACCCCAGAGCAAGCTCTGACCTCACTCAGAGGCCACGACCTTGATCATGAAGCTCCCCCTTGGGACTGTTTTTTTTGTTTGTTTTTGTTTTTGTTTTTGTTTTTTTTTTTTGTCTGCATGTGAGACAGCACCTGTTCGAGTTAAGCAGAGTGGTAGAAAGCTCCCAGACTGCCAAGCACGAATTAGTTACTTGCTGTGGTCACTGTCCCTGCTGCAGTGGTGGTACTGGGCCTGGTGTCCTCTCCAT